CCCTCACATATGTCATACCTGAGAAATACCTAAGTTTAACTACCTTCTTCCTTATAAACAAATCAACCAATCAATCAAGCAATTATTTTCTACCTTTTAAATTATTGTTTAAAACCTTATCATCTAGCTTTATTTCGAAGACTTAATAATCTGTTGTGTAATTTTAGAGTCTCTGTGGATTCGATCCCTAAGTACTACAATTGAACCTCTTTTGATGAGAGTAATTCCCTCCTTAGGGTAATTTGAGTGATATCAGCAAGCCTGGAGGAGTGGTTAGAACGAATTCAAACTGAAGTCCATGGTTTGTAAGCTAGTATGATCAGGAGTGAGAAAGCCACAAGAAGCTTCTTAACTTCATGGTTTGAAGAATCACAAGACAAGGAGGATACTTGTTACCCGACAAGTACCGGCAACACACCTCACTAAGCCACCATACCTTCATAGTCAAGCTAACTGACTTTAACCAAGCGCTGAGTGGGAGGCAACCCACTATTAGGTATTTTCTTATTTAGCTTTATTTTATTTTTACTTATTACTTTCGTTTTTATTTGTTGTTAGGAACACAGCTACACGATCACTACCTATCGACCGATGAGATACTGTTGACATCGATCGATACATACCCATCCATGACGATCGATGGAAGTGACTCACCATCGATCGATACGAACATCGGTCAGGTATATCGTTCACAATTTCGATATCAGTTGTACATTTATTATTTTTTTATGCTCTAACTCCGATTAGTTATACACTGAGGATAATGTATGATTTAAGTCTAGGGGAGTGGAATTATTGATGCTACTTTACCTTTTTGATCTCACTAAAAAGTTATCAAAAATTGGTTTTATTGAGTCAAGAAAAGGACAAAAAGATTTCAAAAATTTTTCTTTTTATCTTACCATTCTTTAGCACCATTCTTAGAATTGTTGATTGCAAAAAGTACTATAGATGCTAAAGTGGATCACCGATAATCCTATGACAACACTTTTCATGATTGTTTGGAAGAACCAAAGCTGATTTTCAACCTAACCTGACATCTATTGCTTGTCTTGGGGCTTTGTATAAAAGGGATCGGAATCCTCATGCAAGTCTGGAAGGTAAAAGTCTCAATAATTTTGGTTTCTTTCTCTCCTTCCTTTGGCATCCCATAAAGAGAAAAATAAAAGATTGAGATGATTTCCTGAGAGACAGAGGGAGAGGTACATTACCCATGACCCCATTATTCTAATTCAAAGGAATGATCACACATTGTGGAAGCGAGGGAGAGGTAAATTACCTATGACCCCACTATTCGCCTACACTTTGTCAAAAAAACTACAAAAAGTAGAAAGATCAATAAGATGAACATTAGTTGTTCATTGGGATTGATAAAAAAAGAAAAAGAAAATTTAGGATTCAGAGAAGGGAGATAAAGGGAGAAAAGAAACCAGAAAGAGGATGCCTGAAAATTGCTTGAGTTGAATCCAAGTGTTATTTGATCGATACTCCCAAGGTAAAGCCTACACCTTTATTTTATGCATAAATGAAATCAGTAGAGGGGATAGACAGACAGGATTGTTTAAGTTGATTGGCTAGATGAATTTGGTTGCTAAGCTAGGATATGGTATAATGTACTTCTGTAGTTGGTAATATGAGATGTGGCTTGCAACAAAGTAGAGGTGATAATTTTAAAGTTAAGATTTTATTGAGTCCCTGCTGTTTTTAAACTTCTTCCAAAAGACTAACTAATAGTTTGCTTGAGGACAAGCAAAAGGTTAAGTCTGGGGGAGTTGATATACCATGGTTTTGACCCACTTTTAGCCATGGTATTGATATGCTTTTATAATATATATATAAATGTTTTGGAGTCTATTAGGTATGTTATCAGGTTCAAGAGCATTTTGGAGTAAAGTGATGATTTAGGTGCCCTTATGGAGCTTAAAGGAGAGTTTTCCGAGATGACTATGAAGATCAGACAATAAGGTCGATATCCAGATATACATATCGATCGATGCACATCTTGTGTAATCGATCGATGACGCTTCCATAGAAGATGAAGTCGAGATACTCCATCGATCGATGTACGTCATGTACGATCGATCGATATGAAGCGTGAAGAACAAGTCTGACTTGGCCGACTTGAATCCCAAGTTTTCCCAATATTACAAGATTGCCCCTGACAATTTTTTAACCTAATTGAACTCATATTTATAGTTATGCCTATGTGTTTTGGCAAAGCATGCTTTTGTGCTTTGTATGCTTTTTATTGTTTTGTGCTTTTGATACTATTTTATACTTAGCAATAAAGTATTCTTTTCATCTAAATTCTCAAAGGTTATAGAATTATATATTTAGAAGAAACACACAAAGAGATTTGTTGTTCCAAAGAACCAAAAGTTCAGTCTTCTAATCTTATAAATTTCTATTATTACCTTGCTGCTATGAATCACTTAGCCATGTCTGAGTAGATTCACTTGTTAGATTTAGGGTTCAAATAGTTATGAGGGATTACCCCAACTATGGAATGCTAAGTTGTGATATTCATTATCCAGATGAACGCTAATGCTTACTCTAGAGTAGCTAACTAGAGTATGATCATGTAGTGATTTAACTTGTTAATCATTATCCTGAAATCATTTGGCATAAGCATAGATCCTCTAGGGATGTGCGAGAGCTGGTCTATGATCTTGGTGAACACAGTTTTGATTCGATCTTATGCTATATCTATCGATACTCCTATAGAGTAATCGATCGACGGCAACCCATATCGTCCGATATCGCTGTCAAAACATCGGTCGATATTGTCGGCAGTCAGATCAATGGACGAGTCTATATAGCTACTGCTATTAGATCTGTCTAATAATCGAAGTTCTTATATATCTTGCAAGCAACTTACTAAAACATTTGTAGCATTATAATCCTGATTATCTGAATAGCAATCTTGAATCTAACTACTTTCTTTTATTGTTCAAAACCTAAACCTATTCTCTTGAGCAACTTATCATTGCTCACAACTGCAATTTACTATTTTAAACTGAATCAACCTAGCATAATCACTTAGGATTACATCTTTTGTGTTCCTCAGTTCCATGTGGATTCGTTCCTTAAGTACTACAACTGAATCTCTTATTTGAGAGAGTAATTCACTCCTTAGGTTTAAATATTTAAGTGATATCAACGTCATTTTACATGATTTGAAAATAAAAAAAACAAATAGACGCCCAGATTTGAACTTAGGTTGTCTAGGTCATGTGAAAAGGTCTTTTACCACTAGGCTAATGGTACTTTCAGTGTATTTACTAACACATTTAATTTTATTTGGTTTTGATTGAATATGAAAAATTCTCTAAAAAACTTAGGAAGATCTTTAAAATTTCAAAAAATTAAAAATAAAGATTTTTTTATAAAATTAATTTTGACATTAAAATCAAAAAAAAAAATTTATTTTTTCTTAAAAAAATCAAAAGTCTTCCAAAATTTTCAATTTTTTAAAACACAATTGCTAAAAATTGAAATTAATTATACACAAAAAGATGCCCACATAGTAAAATTAAATTAAAATGCTTAAAATAAATACTTTACCCATTATGAGTGCGATTTTAATTTTTAGCTGAAAACTGTAACTTAATTTTTTGCGTTTTCTTTGAATTTTTAAATTTTTTGGAATTTAAAAAATGAAAATTTGGAAGATTTTTTATTTTTTCAATATTTTTTTAAATTGATTTTAATTTCAAATTTTTTTGATAAAAAAAGTCTTTATTTTTCAATTATTTGGAATTCTAAAGATCTTTTTATGTTTTTTAGAGAATTTTTTTTTTATATTCGATCAATACCAAATAAGATTACATGTGTTAGTTAATCCATTAAAAGTATCATTAGCCTAGTGGTAAAATACCTTGCCATTTAACATACACAACCCGAGTTTGAATCTGGTTGTCTACTGATTTTTTATTTTCAAATCATGTAAAACGACGTCGTTTCATCTCATTTGAAAACGACGTCGTTCCACTTAACGCCAACATTTAACACCGTCTTAACTGTGAGTTAACGGTGTGCTAATATGGTCAGTCAATCTTAAGTTGCTTAATAAATTAAAAAAAAAATCAACAAAAATACAGGTTTTTTTTTTGCGAGGTTCGAGTATATGTTTTTTTGGCAATTCGCGCAAAGTTCGTGTTTTTTTTGGTAGAATTCTCATTTACTATCTGCTAAACGAGAACATTCTGAAGACAGACTATTGAAATCCTTAGACAACTCCGACACTTGAAACTACAGCTGATATGATTTGGCCTCAATAATTCCATTAAGTCAGACATATATAAGAAACTTATTCAGATCTCTAGAGCAGATAAAATAAATGTACAACTCAATGGTTTTTACTTTCTAATATAGGAGTTTTCCCAATGGATAAGTAATTTTTACATAATTTATTTGTGTCAAAATAATGAATCATTACGAGTCTAGCAGCAACTCGATCCTATGAAGCGAGAGAAAGCATCTCGCCTGGTTCTCCTTTAATGTTTGAGATAATACCCAAAAGTTACTGTAAGTATACATACTAAATTCACTACTTTCCAAAACTAGATTATAAACTTAAACAAGATAATTTTGTTTGTTTGCATGCATGGGTCATGAAAACGGACGACGTTAAGTAAAATCACACCAGAAGGGTATTATCTCTATGTACTATTATTTGAAAGAGTGACAGCTTTTTTTATATGCAAAGCTTTTTTTATATGCAACACCGGATTAATATAAATTGAAAATAAAGAAAAACACCCATAAATTTCACTTTTTTTTGGTAAAATGTTAATATTTATACCATTTTCAGTTTTTTTTTTCACAATGTTAAAAACAACTTATTACACAAGATGAAACGAACAACAACACAACGCAAGGAACTGGAACAAAACTCCATAAATTTCACATTTCACAAGAAGATACATCATAATTCTCACAGTGAACCCAAATCCACTAAGTTCTTGAATGATCTTTGTCATGTATGTGTGTGACACTCACTAAATGCTCTTGCTGAGATCTTCGAGCTTCTTCAACCTCAGATTCTCGCTTTCTCCAGCCATCTGTCCAATCTCCTCAGTAAGAAAATAGGCACTATTTATGCAAATATATATACACAATTTGTGTAACACAAATCCGCAACAAAATAGGAGCAAGAAACTAACCTCCATGAGTTTGGCGATCAGCTGAATTTTCTCCAAATTCTTCGCATTGAATGCATCAACTGCTTCTTTGTATTCCCTTTGCTGTATCATTCACGTTACAAATAAAAATTCTAAGTTTCGCGTTGGGTTTTGTTATGTGATTGCTAAACCGAATTTTTGGGGTCAAAAACGGTAACCTCGAAATCAACGTCTACGATTACTTCTTCTTATATTCTCCAAAAGGATCTCGGGTTGAGAAAACGAGAAAAGGTCAAAACCGAGCAACCGTCCTGCTCGCCAACAGGCGAGCTGAACAGACCTGTCCAGCTCGCATGTTGGCGAGCTAAACCAAACCGTCCATGCCCCTCAACTCGATCGTACTCTGAACCATGATCGGAACATCTCTCGTTTCGTCTCGATCCGTCATACCGTTGGAGTTTTACGATAAAAACCGTAAAATGTTTGTTTTCTCGTAAAACCTCGAGTAAATCGTATAAAACGGAAACGGTTAAACGAAACACTAGATATTGCCAATCTATACGATTAACTCGGCATATTTTATAAAAAAACCGCTAAAGACTTGTTTTCTCGTAAAACTTCGAGTAAATCGTATAAAACGGAAACGTTTAAACGAAACACCGGATGTTGCCAAACTATACGATTAACTCAAGATGTTCTGTAAAAAGGGCATCGTATCATGGAACGATCTCGTTTAAAGTCGTAAAACAGTTAAAATCGCAAAACGGCTCGAAAAGTCCTAAAACGGGATAAAGGCCCACTCATGACTTTAGACAAGATCCAGCCCAAATATACAATGACGATTTACTCATTATTCACAGGAATGGATAAATGTCAAGTTTGAAGACGAAATAGAAGTTTTCCGAAGCAAAATGAAAAGATCGAAATAAATGGAAGATTTCTGATAAACACGAATCAAGGCAGAGCTTTTTAGACCTAGAAAAACTGATGTTAGCTTAGGTGAATTTAGGACTTAGGTGGCTAGACTAGCAAGCCGGATTCCTAGAACGTTTGGTTGTCTAAGCTCTGTGATTCTCTTTGTAACAGCTTTCAATCTCTTTATCAATAATAGCCTTTGCGGATATTCTTCATCTATATTCTGTTCATCTTTTTCGTTTTAGTGTGTTTTCGCAGAACTCCAGCACCTCTAGAGAATTAGGGTTTTCTTAAAGTTTCCATATTTGACGAAAAATCGATAGTGTGAATTTCGGTTCCCACAGTTTGGCGCTAGAAAGAGGGGGGTTCGAATTCTCTTACACAATAACCACTGAACGAACGAGAAACGATATGCCTAACTTAAACGGCGATGTCATCTCATTCAAGGACAGAGCAACAGTCGACTCGATCAAACCTCTTAACGACCTCCTTGTTATCGAGTTGACAATCCAGAATATGGATGTCGCACGAATATTAGTCAACACCGGAAGCTTGGCTGATATCATCTTCAAAAATACCCTTGAGAGAATGGAAATCGATCCATCCGAAATCGCGGAAAACTCATGCCGGCTAATAGGATTCTCAAGAGAAATAACCATGATTCTTGGCACAATTAACCTCATGGCTCAAGCCGGAAGCGTGATCAAAATCGTCGAATTCATAGTCGTCGACCGACCCATGTCCTACAACGCAATCGTAGGAACATTGTGGGTAAACTTGATGTAAGCAGTACCATCGACGTACCATATGTGTCTCAAGTTCCCAACCCCGCGCGGAAATCGAGATCATCTAGGGAGATCATCTGCGGATTTAAAATGAAAAGGTCATGCGACTAACGCTCCATCCAAAAAGAAAAAGAAATCGCATGCCGTCGACGACGCCTGTGAACAAGATAAAACCGAAATCTTTTGGCAGTCACGGCCAGCCGGAATACCGGAAGCAAAGCGCGAAACTACCTGCAATAATGTCATCTCGGTATGCATAGATGAAGCGTTCCCTGAACCCTGCGTCAAAATCGGTGCAAACCTAAACGAGACTTTAAAAGCCGAGCTTTTGACTTGTCTGAAGAGAAACTCGAACATGTTCGCATGGACCGCGGAAGACATGCCAGGAATCGATATAAACATCACATGTCACGAATTCAATGATGACCCAACGTCTAAACCCATCAAACAAAAGAGACAGAAGCTAGGCCCAGAACGCGTTGAAGCAGTCAACAATGAGGTCAACAGACTCCTCAAGGTCGGATCAATAACGGAAATTAGGTATCCTGACTGGCTCGCTAATCCTGTCTTCGTCAAGAAAAGGAACAGAAAGTGGCGAGTCTGCGTCGATTTCACCGATCTTAATAAAGCATGTCCTAAAGATAGCCACCCGCTGCTGCATATCGATTGCTTAGTCGAGGCAACGACAGGAAACAAACTCTTATCTTTCATGGACGCTTTTTCCGGGTACAATCAGATCATGATGAACTCTGGCGACCGAGAGAAAAGCGCATTCATAGTCGATCGCGGAACTTACTGTTATAAAGTAAAGTCGTTCGGTCTTAAGAATGCCGGTGTTACTTATCAACGACTCGTCAATCGCATGTTCTCCGAACAACTCAGAAAAACAATGGAAGTATACATTGACGATATGCTTGTGAAATCGCTCGAAGAGCAAGATCATGTCACACATCTCCAAGAATGTTTCGAGCGACTCAATTTGCACAACATTAAGCTAAATCCTGCCAAATGCCGGTTTACCGTCGCATCCGGAGAGTTTTTTGGATACCTCGTTACATACCGAGGAATTGAGGCCAACCCGAAACAAATCACAGCGCTAATAGAAATGGTGTCCCCCAGAACGAAGCACGAAGTACAGAGACTGACCGGTAGAGTCGCAGCACTCAACCACTTCATTTCGAGATCAACGGATAAATGCCTTCCTTTCTACGATACTTTTAAGGGAAACAAAAAGTTCGAGTGGTCCGAGGAATACGAGAAAGCTTTTCAACTGCTAAAGCATTACCTGGCTACCCCGCCAGTACTCGTGAAACCAGTGGAAGGGGAACCGCTATGCCTCTACATCGCAGTGTTAATAACGGCCGTAAGTGGCGGCCTCATCTGGGAAAAATGCGGCGAGCAAAAGCCAATCTTTTACGTAAGTAAAACTTTGCTAGACGCAGAAACGCGATACCCGATGATGGAAAAAATTGGCATTAACAGTGGTAATGTCGGCAAGAAAACTAAGACCGTACTTCCAATCTCACACCATCGTCGTACCCACTTCTTTCCCTCTCCGCACAATTTTGCACAGCCTCAGCACTTTTGCGACCTTTGGCTGAAGAAGCCAACGTTTCACTGAGCGCCGGCAGCTCTAAAACGACCACTCTCTTGGCCGTAGGAGGAGGCTTCGAGACCACGGCTGGTTCGACCTCAGTAGAAGTTGGGATGACAGAAGAACTTGATGGCTCGATGACGGTATTCGCCGCAGGCTCCGAAGCAACACTTGCCGACTTGTCCAAAACAACTTCAGATGTTTCCACAGGAACAGACAGATCTGTCGGATTTGCATGAACTGGGTGCGCCGCCTCTTCAGCATCCATCTCCTTCTGAAACGAAAGGAATTACCCGATGTGAGAATCCGGCGGGCCTACTGTGGAATTGGCGTTGACCAAGAAATCATGGTTTTGTTGATCATCATTGGGGGAAGACATCTTGACAAGAAAATTTCCTAAAGAGAAGTTGGAGGAAGTTTGAGAGGTTGAGTATATGTGAAAAAAGTAAGAAGTGATGATCCAATACTTATAGGAAAACAAGGAGGAGTCTATTTTCCGCAATAAGATAATCAACCTACTTTTCTAGAATAAGAAAAGAAGAGACGATCGCAGCCGTAGATTCCGATTAACAACTCTACTCGCCCGCAAGAACCTCCCTTAAACTTGCGAGCTGGGGGGCTAACTATTGGGGTCAAAAATGGTAACCTCAAAATCAAGGTCTACGATTACTTCTCTTTATATTCTCCGAAAGGATCTCGGGTTGAGAAAACGAGAAAAGGTCGAAACCGAGAACCGTCCAGCTCGCCAATAGGCGAGCTGGCTGTTCTTGACCAGCTCGCATGTTGGCAAGCTGGCCCTGCTTGACCAGCTCGCTTGTTTTCAAGCTGAACAGACCTGTCCAGCTCGCCAACAGGTGAGCTGAATCAAACCGTCCATGCCCCTGGACTCGATCGTACTCTGAACCGTGATCGGAACATCTCTCATTTCGTCTCGATCCGTCTTACCGTTGGAGTTTTACGATAAAAATCATAAAAGGTTTGTTTTCTCGTAAAACCTCGAGTAAATCGTATAAAATGGCAACGGTTAAACAGAACACTAGATATTTCCAAGCTATGCGATTAACTCGAGATCAATATTATATAAAAATTGCTAAAGACTTGTTTTCTCGTAAAACTTCGAGTAAATCATATAAAACGAAAACGGTTAAACGAAACACCGGATGTTGACAAACTATACGATTAACTCAAGATGTTTTAAAAAACGGCATCGTATCATGGAACGATCTCGTATAAAGTCGTAAAACGGCTAAAATTACAAAACGGCTCGAAAAGTCCTAAAACGCGATAAAGGCCCACTCATGATTTTAGACAAGATCCAGCCCAAAGATACAATGACGGTTTACTCATTGCTCACAGGAATAGATAAATTTCAAGTTTGAATACGAGAAGTTTTCTAAAGAAAAATGGAAAGATCGAGATAAATGGAAGATTTCCGATAAACATGAATCGGGCGGAAAAGGAAAGACCAGCCGCCTAGAGAATGAGTATATAAGCATAAGGTCGAAGTCAAGAGGAGGTAGAGATTTTGTAGACCTAGAAAATCTATTGTTAGCTTAGGCGAATTTATGACTTAGGTGGCTAGACTAGCAAGTCGGGTTCTTAGAATGTTTGGTTGTCTAAACTCCGTGATTCTCTTTGTAACAGCTTTCAATCTCTTTATCAATAATAGCCTTTTTTGTTTTAGGGTGTTTCCACAGAGATCCAGGACCTCTGGATAATTAGGATTTTTTCTAAGTTTCCATATTTGACGTAAAATCGATAGTGTGAAATTCGGTCCCACACAAATGAAATCAAACCATACTTAAAGGAATAATGGTAAGTCACCTTCTTTTGAATAG